ACACTGTACAGGTACATATGCTTTTTGAAATTGACACTGTACAGGTACAGATGTTTTCCCGAGTTAACACTGTACAGGTACAGATGTTTCTCTGAGTAAACACTGTACAGGTACAGATGCTTCCCCGAGTTAACACTGTACCGGTACAGATGCTTTCCCGAGTTAACACTGTACAGGTACAGATGTTTTCCAGAGTTAACAATGTACAGGTACAGATGCTTTCCCGAGTTAACACTGTACAAGTACCGATGCTTTCCCGAGTTAATACTGTACAGGTACAGATGCTTTCCCGAGTTAACAATGTACAGGTACAGATGCTTTCCCGAGTTAACACTGTACAGGTACAGATGCTTTCCCGAGTTAACACTGTACAGGTACAGATGCTTTCCTGAGTTAACAATGTACAGGTACAGATGCTTTCCAGAGTTAACAATGTACAGGTACAGATGCTTTCCCGAGTTAACACTGTACAGGTACAGATGCTTTCCCGAGTTAACAATGTACAGGTACAGATGATTTCCTGAGTTAACACTGTACAGGTACAGATGCTTTCCAGAGTTAACAATGTACAGGTACAGATGCTTTCCTGAGTTAACACTGTACAGGTACAGATGCTTTCCCTTATAAACACCGTCCAGGTACAAATGCTTCTCCGAGTAAACACTACAGGTACAGATGATTTCCCGACTAAACACTACAGGTACAGATGTTTTCCCGAGTTAACACTGTACAGGTACAGATGTTTTCCAGAGTTAACACTATTCAGGTACAGATGCTTTCTAAAGTTAACACTTTACATACAGGTATGGACAAATTCAATTTAATTCTCTACATTACAAATAAAGTAATGCAGACACTATCATTGCCCTATAGAGTATGCTGGTGAATATCGTAATTCAAGCACTGATTAATATTTATATGAACTGAGAGGCGAATGGAAAATATATGATTTATTCATCTCAATACTGGCAATAATCTGACACCAATTACAATTAGTATAGCACAAAAAACAATTTGGTTTGTCATTCAAAATTTGGAAATGTTTTACTTGGTACTTCTACATACTATGTACTTCTGCTTTCATGAAATGCAAACAATTAAAATGAAAATATAAAATCTGTATAAAAGGTGTTTACAAACAATATGAAGTGGAGACATAACAAAAGAGACTAGCAATATACAGACACTGTATAATTTCCTTCAGGACTTATTTAGGATGCAGAGAAATCATCTCACGAAAACAATGAGGAATGGTGAGTAGCTGGGTACATCACTTTTGTGTTGCTGGGAAAGAAAGGTAAAGTATATATGTACACATGTAATATATTTGACTTACTATCAAATGCATGTGTATTAAGAAACAGATATAGCTGTAACAGACACTGGCAGAATGAAAACATTAAACTATCCAAATTTTAACAAAAAAATATTGTATAAATATCATTCAACACATGCAACTTTATAAACATCTTAAATAAAACAAAATTCATTAACTCGTTATTTCTTCATAACAATTTTACCAAAATCAAAATACAGCCCTTAACAGGTATGTATTAAACCACAAATGACAATAAATACAAAACAATAACGCCCAGCTCCTGGAAACATCAACAAATTCTTGTTCACAAATTCAATTTTACAGCAAACAATTTTTGTCTGAATTCACTTTCTGCTTTTTTTTCTTTTTCCAAGAAATTTATTTCTTCCCATTTCTTACAAATATTAATTTTCAACTATAAAACCAATAATGGAGAAATAATATTGTTTCCACTATGGTTTTCTCACTGATCAGAAAATCACAAAAAACTTATTAGTGAAGGACACTTCTCTTCAAACTATATCACATTATGACACATTTCAATCTGACTGATATTGTTGAAGTGATTATTATCATTCAATCCAGTTTTACCCTCTGAAAACAATATTAAAGATAAATAATTTTCATCTCAACAAAACATTTATCATAAATGTGCTTTAAAAATGCACAAAAGAAATTCTAATAAATTCAACATTATCACTTCTGCTTTGGAACAGACGAAAGGATTGAACACAGGATATCACAAAGCAATAACGTTCCCTCAAATGCGGTTGACATCTATTAAGTGACAAACTGTACCAAGTACTACGGCAATTGAAGCATTATATGAAATTCAAGATGAATGGGTCTAACAGCATGTGATATTCTGAAGAAAATAGTTTTCTATTTTTAGCAACAGTAACCTTAACCAAGGAAGCAATATTAATGTTCAAGGTATGAGTGTAATCGACCAAGCACAGATCAATTGCAACACATTGAGCAGATTTCTGTTTCATATTCATAGCAGTAAACATGGAGCCTTCAATGAGGAACAAATCTATTTGTACTTGTTACAATAAATTGAACAGAAACAAAATGATTTAAGAAAGACAAATCTACAACTGTGATGAACCAAACAAGAAAGAGGTGGCTAGCTGAAAAACACATCAGATGTCCAGAGGCTATCGCATCCTCTTCCTTAATTAGTGTACAATCAACAGCCACTAGCAGAATTCATTTGAATCCAAGGTCTATCCTGTACCTTAATTAGTGTACCATCAACAGACACCAGCAGAATTCATTTGAATCCAAAGTCGGTCTTCCTACTTCTAATGTGTACATTACATTCATAAAATCAGTACCTGCTACTTACAAATTGTGATCAATTGTAACTATGACTGTGACATTAGAGCCCCCAAAACACAAACTCATAGTGTAGTTGATCTTGGTTTAAAGTTTTAGCAAAATTCTGAAGAAATTATGTTGCCTAATTGATTGCAGTGATTTTAAGACAAGTTTCAAAAGATATCATGGACAACACTGTATGCCTCTCTATAAAATGCATGATGGCCATAAAACACTTCAATCTGCAACATTCATTAACATACAGTCAAAATATCACAATGAAATAATAGTGACTGTCGTACAGATGGTAGACAATAACAAACCTTAAAGTATATAATCTGTATGTAAATGTAGCAAACCATCAAAATGAAAAGATTCCTCCTCTTGGAAACAGGGTTTTCAGGCACTTATAGTCAATAGGTTATAGTAAATATCACAGTGGCATAGCTGGTTATACTGTAGCAACTTATATACAATTGTACATTTGGTTGTTTTTAATGTGGTCAAAAGTTTCATTAAATTCTGTCATACATTTAAGAATCTATCTATGATCTCAAAATGCTGAATTAACATTTCCTTTTCAAATTCGCCTTTGACCCCGACCCAAGCATATTTTTAAAATCATATGTTCAACCCAGCTATGCCAATGCATAGGCAATGCAAAAACTTATTTTTCCACTTTTGGCTCTGAAGAATTCTAGGATGGGTAGGTTATTTGCCATAGTATTGGACATGTGTGACAAATATAGACAATCAATTTTAAAACTTGCTTAATAAGCAAAAACAAAAGCAAAAATAGCAATATTAACAACTGTATCGTTTCATTATGGCAAGGCTAGGGATTTAATCATTACAAAGCTAACATAAATAGACATATGATAATTGCAACAGCAAATGCACCAATGTATATTTCAAGCTGGGTTTGGGGGTAGGGGTCGGGGTTGGGGCGGCTCAAAATTCATGAAATATCAGAAACTTGTGGCAAATTGTTGAAAAAGAAAATCCACTGTTGATTAGGAAGTTAGAAATTATCAAGTTTTCATTATGTACGTCAATGTAAAAATTACATGTAATTTATATGTGGACAACAAGGTATCATAGTTCACTTTCACAGTGTTTGAGCTACATGGAACTAGAGATCTTTTATTTTACTATATTCTTAACATTCTCAGAACAACAAACTATATTTCACTCTCGCAACTGGATGAAACAAACATGTCAAAAGTAATGTCTACTAATACTGACAATATATTGATGAGGATACCTGGAAACAATATATGCTTTATAATCAGCATTGTAGCAATGTCTTTCTGATTTTAATAAATGATCTTGTAGATTAAAATGCTGCATGGCCATCTGCTCACTGTAATAAGTGACAGCATAATTTTGTAACTAACATCATTCATTTCGCAATGTGTTTGTAATCTTTGTGTATATGGAGGAAATAAAGATACATAGTAATTCATAGTATAAAGATGAATAAACTGGCACATACTTGCTCCTTTTCCTCTGTACTAATACTAGTGGAATCAGTGTCTTCCATATGATCTTAGAAAACCATCTTTCACATTAACAGTGTAGCAGAAATGAAAAATTGAAGTCCTCATACATACAATGAAACACAGTGAAGGTCTCAAATATTATAATGGAACACACACAAAGTTCTGACCAACTTTAAAGAAACCAAGAAATGGACTTAAATCTGGTAAAAATATCATAAAATAAGCATTAACAACACAAACAATACTGTTTACAACTTCGGAAAAAAACCATAGCTTAATATCAACAATGACCAGTATGTGATTAAAAGTCTTCGGTTTACTTCTCTGCATATCGCCATTAACAATAGCAAAAGATTTAAAATGAAAAGAAGTTAAAGAAGTTTTCTAGGAAAATGAAGAACCAAGAATACAATTTGGCACCTCCTAGACCAATTTGTCACTGAGACATTGAAACTGAGATCAAGTTGTGATGCATCAATTGTCAGCAACTAGGTATGCTTCAACCAATAATGAAATGGATAAATTTTCAAAGCCATTTGATCAAAAAATTTAATTGATTCTTTTTTTTTTTTTTTTGAGAAATCTTTCAAAATTTCACATATTCAAAAAATTTAATTGATTCTTTTTTTTTTTTTTTTGAGAAATCTTTCAAAATTTCACATATCTTCTAAGTATCAATAAATACACTGTCACAAGAGTTGTCTCCCCTAGCATGGTTAATTCCAATTTGATCTCAATATCAATCTGTCATTCAATGCCTCAGAAGGACAAGTCTAGTTTTTGAAAAGTTTTTCTATGAAGAATCAATTATCTTTTTCAAACTTTTCAAAATTTGAAAACTAATTAAACATCTAAACTGTAGTTTATAGTGAAATCTAGAACAATGTTATCACTACCAGCACCAACTTATTATCCAACAGCCAAGGTGTCAAAAATACATATGTAAAGGAATTTTACATCTTTCAACTGAATTATATTACAGGCTTTCTACAGCAAATTAAGACAATCATGGCTATATGTGTACATTTTGTACACATTTTATAATTCACAGTGCATATCAAGTTAACCAATCTAAATGCTTGTCTTGAAACGAACTCCATACCTTGTCAATCTTCAACAACTTTTTAAAAAAAATACAATCAGTATCTTACTGACCATCAAAATTAACAAAATAGTAATAACCTTTTACATGATGTTTGTTAGTAAGACTTATCACTGGCCTATCTTAACACTGATTACTGTCATCTTCTAAACGAGTTAATATCAACAAGTTATGATCATCCATCATATCACAAATGGAAGGAGGATAAATACACTGCTTATGTTGACAAGATATATTCCAGTCCTGATCAACACTGAAGCAGCAGACAAACAGATCACTCCAATCAGAATCATATTTTAACCTCATCTGCAATTACCTGTAAAACCAAAAACATTTTTTTCAAAAGGGAAATTATGAACCAAATGTTTTGCTTTGTAGATATCACAAAACATGGATTTGAATTCATGGTATTCAATACAATAATCAACTAAAAGTATATAAATCTTCATAACATTCAAAATCTTTGCATCCCTAATAATTGGCACATTTCAGAAATCGCTCCACTTCTTATATAAGTAAATATTAGAAAATCTGTATCAAGGCATTTCCATCCCTCATATTAGGATCTCTTGCTACGTTTGGAAACTTTAACTTCTCTGTGACTTTTCTTCTTCTTCTTCACCTTATGCTTATGTTTAGGTTTTTTAACAGGAGACTTAGTGTCACCATTTTCAGTGTCTGAATGTTCACTCTCACTATTGCTGAAGTGATGATGTCTGTACACTCGGGTAGAGTTTTTTGTTGCCCTATGATAATATGTTTGTGTGGGAGATTTTTTCTCTTCTTCTTTATTTTCCTTTGTGTTGTTTTCTTGTAATTCTTCTGAACCACTTGCAGATCCTGCTTCTGATGATGAGGATGAGGGTGATGTAGATTCCCGACGTCGTTTCCGAGATAGGGGTCGTTCAACTGAGCTTGATGGCTCAAGACGAGGTGCATCTGGAAACACCCTAAAATGAAGCAGACAAATCTAATAGGCAGGAGTTCACATCAACTTATATAAAGAGAAAAATGACATTTGACCTCTTCAAGGCATTTGGGAGTCCCAATATGCACAGAAGAGGTCAAATCAACTTTGAATTCTTTACCTTTATCAATTTTCACTTAAATCTAATTATATATAGAAACTGTCAATGTGTACAATATTTCTGAAATATCAAGGCAAATATACTGGTGATCAGATCTATTTGAATACTGGATTTAAATACCGACCGCCGTAGGATTATCACAGCTCTTCTCTCAACAATATCCTGTGGCCTGATACAATGTGTAATGTGATCTGCCGCATAATCACTGCAAATAAAGAAATAAGACGCATTAGAACAACAAATACAAACTATAGATTACCGTCAATGGTTATTTCTTGTGAATTACAGGTGTGGGACATTAAAAACATACATTTCTATAGTATTGTAATATGTAACAGACATAATAATTCAACATGAATTGATTATGTAGTGTGAAGACAGTATCTGATGTTAGTACTTTCTGAATATACGTATGTTAAAAATGATTTTCTTCATCATATAATAAAAATCCCCTACCAGAAAGTACCTAACAGCTATTTTGTTATTTCCTTTAGATGTTCATATTCTAGCTGTTTACATATGACAATGCCATATAATGACTATTCATAGTGTAATTAAGAAATGCTAAGATGAGAAAAGACATGAACTAACAAAGGGTTAATGCCAAACTTTTGGTTTAACATTATAAACATATAACCATATCAGTTATTACTAATATTATAATACCTGACCTCCTAGCCAAGCAAACAACATAGTTTAACAACACAATATAACAAAATCATAATGTTGTAAGTGCTTCAACACTGCAGCTGTGTTTAGGCTACCAGTCATATCCCGAGTAACTAAGAAGATATCTAAAAGTCATCTCCTTTATATGTGATATAACATAGCGATGTAGTCCAAATTATTTTGACGTTATATATCAACCCTATCATATCATATGATTCGGACTACGTGGGTTACTGTCAGGTTATGGGTATTACCTTATGAGAGTGACATGACCTTTCTTAACAGGTAAGCACAACACCGGCTTGGACACACGTATTGGGCGAAATGAAAACCTGCAGCCAAAGCTGAGAACACTGTCGCTGAAAAATGAGACAGATACAATAGGTCTGTCAAAAATGTGGGGAGGGTCAATGTGAGAAACAATGCATCCTCCAGGTAAGTAGTCATTAATGACAGCACTATTAAAGAAGCCGCTGGGTATAATTTTGGCATCATACATTGGTTTTACAACCAGTTTTAGAATCCAGTCTGGGATTTCGTCCACTTCACCCTTTGGGTACAGTCTTTCCATACCTGGGCCCTTTTTGGCAAGTTGTGACCCATATGTATATCCCTCCCCAAAGAAATATTTATTTCTTAATGGCGCCCTATCAACCGTATGCTCTTTGTAATCACCATGTTTGGCATGTTTCACAACAGAGTCAATTTTGTCCTCAATAACTTTGCACTCTTCTGATGAAAACAAGCTACGTTGCTGTATACCAGCATTTACTTTCCGCAGTTCGTCCTCTCTTGACATTTCTTGTCTATTATGTCTGTACCGAGTTGAGCTATATTTTTCGGAGCCGTGGTGTTTACGCTTAGAATCAGATTCTCTTCTCCTGCCATATTCCACAGAACGATAGTGCGGTGACTGCAGCTTATGCCGCAGGTCTCGGTACGAGTCGGCCATCTTCTTTAAAATCTCCCACAATTCCTGGATATAAACACATATCTCGCGGGAAAACCGACACGTGATTTTGAATATAAAGGTATGAAAAGTATACCGCTTTCGAAAAGTTTCCTTTTTTCGTTTCGTTCTGTCCTGTGAAAGTTCGGTACATAACGACAAGGAAGTATAATACAGAGGGATAGCGAAGAAATTTGAGTTACCTGTCCGTGTTTATAAACCATTTTTCAACAAAAGTACATCTCTATTTTTTAATTTTTAAAGAAACAGCGTAGAATGTTTAATAATAATTTCAAATAGATTGTGCTAACGTAAGTGATAAATAATTTCTGTGTAGTTTTGATACGAAATAAACTAAATCTTTGTTTACCATACAAATGTGTGTCATGGTACAAAAAGATATTCAAATTAAAATAATTTCGTACCATGCGTGGTACAAAGAGATTACAAACAACGTTTGACAAAAGGTCTTTACTTTGCACATATATAAGTACACGCAGTAAGGCAGAGTGATTTGATTTTTGATACTGAGGTACAAATATACATGAAAGCTAATCCCTTTTTTGTGCCGTTGAACACTTTTTTTCCGTATCTTTTTGTACTGCCATGGACGGTACAGGTAGATAGAGAAAAAGTGTAGCTCTTCTACAAGTGTTAACGCATTTTCTTCTTTCTCTGTGAAAATAGTAAATGAAGGACGATACAAAAAATATAAATTAAAAAGATGTAAGATGAATCGGAATGTTGTAATAAGGTGCTATGATCAGAGATGGGCATGAAAATCCCTAATTCCCTGATTGTAACGTCAAGACAAGACGCAGATTTCGTTAATCACGCCAGATGAAAAACAGAGTTGGTTAGAATCTTGTGAGTATTCGGGATTCTGGTTGGGTCCCTTATAAAAGGAGACAAAGGGGCAACGGTACATTTTCGATATTTCTACTAGATGTATATATACGGAAATTCAAGATCACGGAAATTAACATCTTATCGCGTTTCCTAAAATAACGTGTGATTTCAAAGCTTTAATCTGTTTATAATTCGGATGTTTTATTAAAATAAATGTCCCTTGCTCCATTTGTTTCTCATCAATGTTTTCTAAACAATAACATCCATATAATAACTTCCTGTGTGATTCAGGTTAAGAAACAATAATAACATAACAGGTATAAATGTCAATAACTATCCAATCCTTCTCTCTCAATATGCAGACGACACCTCACTCATTCTTGATGGGTCAGAAAAATCTTTACGTGAATCAATCTTAGAACTAAATCGTTTTTCCCACATATCTGGATTAAAAATCAACACAAACAAAACTCAGGTTATATGGATAGGGAACAAAAAAATATAGCAATGACACTTTTTTACCTGAATTAGGCTTACAGTGGGGTGTGGACAAATTTTCTCTCTTGGGGTTGGAGTTTAGTGTTAATTCACATGAAATTCCAAAATTAAATTTTGACAAAAAACTAATAAAGCTGAAATCTTTAATCAAGTCCTGGAGTAGAAGAAGGCTAACACCTATTGGTAAAATTCATGTAATTAAATCATTATTGATATCACAATTTAATCACCTATTTATATCATTACCTAACCCAAGCATTTCATATCTTAATAAGTTAAATACAAAGTGGAAAGAAATGTTATAACTAAAGAATACTTTGAGGGGGGTTTGAAAATGGTAAATATTAATGCTTTTATAATTATTTTTAAGTTCACAATTTAGAAAGTGGCAAGTTATACTTCAGAGTTTTTTTAATGTTGACTATATTATAAATTGTGGAACTGATTACGTACATGTGTCAAAGATCGTGCAAAAATTTCTTTTGGTGTGATGTCTTAAAAGCATGGAAAAGACTATTGAACTCTGACTTTCTAAAGGGCAGACAACTCTCTTTGTTGAAAACACCTGTTTGGCAAAATCCTAATATAACTATTGGTGGAAAGTCTACTTTTTACCATAATTGGTTCGTTAAGGGCATAAGAGTAGTTAACGATTTGCTGAAAACTACAAATCCTGTCACTTTTTACTCTTATCAGGAATTTTCACGGAAATACAGTTTATTTACAATTTTTCTTCATTTCCAAGGTATTGTCAACTCTGTGAAATTATCTAGCAAACCTATTGATCAGGACACACATCTTTTACTCCCCTTCATTCCTTTGAACATAGAGCCTTTCTTCAATAAAGTTCAAGGAACAAAACATTTATATAAATTTTATCAAAGAATGATGAAATTCCAACTGGGAGAAAAAAATGGGCCAATGATTTTGACTTTGATAATTCTGACTGGGCAAATATTTTTTCATTACCTTTTAAAATAACAAAAGATTCAAAATTTCAGTGGTTCCAGTATATAATTTTACATAATATTCTGACAACTAATTCAATACTTTTCAAGGCAAACATAGTGTTAAGCCCTCTTTGTATATTTTGCAAATTAGAGTCTGAGACCATATCTCACATATTCTGGGAATGTCAAAAAGTACTAAACTTGCTGCAGAGTCTTGAGACACTTTAAGATGCTTTTTTAATTCCTTTTACTATTAATAAACAATCTTTAATATTTGGTTTTTGGCCAATTAGTCACGAATTTAGTAGAATAGACAATGAAATTAATATCATCATTAAACACTATATTTATAAAACTAGATGTTTTGATACCACATTAAACATACATTCACTAATAAACTCTTTCAAGGACCACCATAATGTCCAAAAGTATATAGCAATAAAAAAAGGGTGGTACTTTTCTTGATAATTTTAACAAAGAATGGGGAAAATGGAAAAAGATTCTAATTTTTTAATAAGAATAGAAATATATTTGTTATCAACCTAACTCTGACAGTTGGGCTCACTTTTATTTTGATTTTCTTATTAAGTAATGCTGTAGTCAATTTTGATCTCAATTAGTTTCTACTTTTGTTTCTGGAAGGTCTGTCTATCTGTCTCTACCTTACCCTAACTGATGACTCTTACACATGTTTGATATTTCTCTTTATACTTCAGGGTGTTTGTTTTGTCTTTGTATATATCTTTGTTGTCTGTCTTGTGTTTTGTCAATGTCTGTCTGTCTGTCTGTCTGTCTTGTCTTGTCTTGTCTTGTCTTGTCTTGTCTTGTCTTGTCTTGTCTTGTCTTGTCTTGTCTTGTCTTGTCTTGTCTTGTCTTGTCTTGTCTGTCTGCTACTTGTAACTGTCTGCGTATGTCTCTGTTCTTTTCTTTCCTATAACATGAAATTATGGAATATTCACTTCACTTTCATTTCATTAAAACATGTATGATCATCGGGGTGTGAAGTTATGTAAGCAAGGAATATATACGCTAACTAGTATGAATGTGGCTGATTAATATGAAATGTCTATGAATGTTTAGAAAATTGGAATGAATGATTTTTTTCTGCACATTATGTATTACTGTCATGTGCGCATGTCCTTTGAAAAAAAAATGAATAAAATATGAGTCATAAAAAAATCCTTTGTGATGTTCACGGGATGTACATAAGCGGGATGCATATGTAAATGTACATCTTTGAAATACAAATCTTTATCTATTTGTTTATTCCATAAAGATATATCTACATCCCTGGCTCTGGCGATGATAAAACAAAAAGACCACAGTACTCGATCGCAGGGCATGTAACGATGTTTCTGGGCCTTGTGTACTCTTATGTGTCTAGCGGTTCGTGAAGTACATTACACGTGTGTGTCTGGGGGTTCGTGAAGTTCATTACACGTGTGTGTCTGGGGGTTCGTGAAGTTCATTACACGTGTGTGTCTGGGGGTTCGTGAAGTAAATTACATGTGTGTGTCTGGGGGTTCGTGAAGTAAATTACATGTGTGTGTCTGGGGATCTGGGGGTTCGTGAAGTACATTACACTTATGTGTCTGGGGGTTCGTGAAGTATATTACACTTATGTGTCTGGGGGTTCGTGAAGTACATTACACTTATGTGTCTAGAGGTTCGTGAACTATATTACACGTGTCTGTCTGGGTGTTCGTGAAGTACATTACATGTGTCTGTCTGGGTGGTCGTGAAGTACATTACATGTGTGTGTGGGAGTTCGTGAAGTACATTACATGTGTGTTCGTGAAATACATTACACTTATGTGTCTGTGTGTTCGTGAAGTACATAAAATGTGTGTGTCTGGGTGTTCGTGAAGTACATTACGTGTGTGTGTGGGAATTCGTGAAGTACATTACACTTATGTGTCTGTGTGTTCGTGAAGTACATAAAATGTGTGTGTCTGGGTGTTCGTGAAGTACATTACGTGTGTGTGTGGGAGTTCGTGAAGTACATTACATGTGTGTGTCTGTGTGTTCGTGAAATACATTACACTTATGTGTCTGTGTGTTCGTGAAGTACATAAAATGTGTGTGTCTAGTGGTTCGTGAAGTACCTTACACGTATGTGTCTGGGTGTTCGTGAAGTACATTACGTGTGTGTGTGTCTAGAGGTTCGTGGAGTACATTACGTGTGTGTGTGTCTAGAGGTTCGTGGAGTACATTACACTTATGTGTCTAGAGGTTCGTGGAGTACATTACACGTGTGTGTCTGGGGGTTCGTGGAGTACATTACACGTGTGTGTCTGGGGGTTCGTGGAATACATTACACTTATGTGTCTGGGGGTTCGTGGAGTACATTACACGTATGTGTCTGGGGGTTCGTGGAGTACATTACATTGTCTAGGGGTTTGTAATAAGCTGTTTCTCAGAGCTTGTAGTATGATTACACAAACCACAGACTTACATTACGTGCGATAAGATGTCACCGTAAAATGGCAGCTAATCAGGGTGTAAAACAGACTTGCTACCCGTTTAGTCTGATTGTTTCACGTGTGTCTGTACCATGGCTGTTTACGCAAGTTATTTTGATACAGAAACATGCACATATACAAAGAAGGAGGAAGTGTTTTTGTCTGTACTCGCAACCTTTCAAAATTAAATTTGTTATCGACCCGGCGATGGAGTACTTTGGATAAACGTCATACAAACCAATTCACCCTGTATTATCTGGGGAAAATATTAACTGCATTTACACACCATGTTCATTTTTATATAGCATTACTCACCTCATAAATGAACTAACTTGTACTGACAGTTTTACTAAAGCACGTTCATGATTTTATTCTCTTGTATTCCTTGTGTTTTTAGATATCCTCTTACAAGCGTATGATTTGTCTGTATAAGTGGAGAGATCTTTTTTCTAAAGTAAAATTTAGCTGACATTGCCTTTGAGCATTTTATTGGTATTTTGTTCTAAATATAGTTCATGTGTTCCATCTAAAGTTGTCACCGGCTTTAAGACAAAACGGCAAACTTTGGAAGACCGCCTACTTAAGGGGGGAATGAGAATCCATGCCTGATAGTTTGCATAAAATCCCAGAGTCAATCAAGCTTCTTCCGGATATTTATAAGTTAAAGTCTTATTGCAATCAAGTTAAAAACATTGTACAATGAACAGAAATTCGTTCTCTGATCCAAAATCTCATCGAAGACTGATCAAGCGATTACTGAAAACAACTGGAACTTCAGTTTATACATAATCTTGTACAGCCCCATAATAACAATGTTTCACTACTGACAAAGCCAATTTATTTACTGGGTATTTGTATAGTACCATGTATGTACATGTAGAAGATAACACTATCGTTGAGACTGGCAAAACTTTTAGTTCTATTAGAGCAAGTGGTAATGAAATTAGAGATGTTCTACAGGTATTGAAGCTCGGTATGACCTAGATTGAGGATAGAATCAGCCATCATGTATTTAAAAATACCCCACAAATTGTTTGTTTTCATTTGAAATTACTTTTATTATGCCGATATCAACAGGTATTCTGTCAGTCACTTCATGGACAATAGCCAAATTATGTCACGCCACATATAGGAAATGTTTTTGAGCAAGTAATTTTGAACTACCTACATAATAATTTCGCAGAAAACTCACATATATATAAACACTAGTCAGGTTTTATACATGCTCATTCTACAGTAAATCAGATGACTGAAATTCATACCTCATTCATTTTATTGGCACAAAACAATATCGCTCAACCAAACCTTTATCAAGCTTCTTACTGCAATCTTCATACTATGAAATCTGGTTCGCAGTTTTGCAAATACTCTTCAGTTGAGAAGTGGAATTATTGATATGTGAATTTTAGAGAACTCCACTTGAAATAGCTTTTTGAACACCACCTTCTTAAATCATTTCTGCTATAAGAACATTTTTATTTTTTATACTCTGTATATTACCATACCCCATTCAAACTGAAGGTATGCCTTCGTTCTCTTGTCATGAGAGTTTATTTTCTCTAAGAAAGATGGACGGCGGTAACAATATATGGTTATGAGCTACATGTATACTGAAGCGTATTTTGTGGGGAAAATGCATCCAAGTTTGAGAAGAAATGATTGAAATTCTGAGTCACAATATCTGAATTTGTCAAGTTCTGCGGCACGATCTTCCAACAGATTACCGGAATACCTGTGGGAACTGTGAACTTTTTTGGCTGTCTTGTATAGAAGCGTTTATCATAACTGATCACAAAAACATTGCGAAGTCCTTCCTTTTCACGTTTAGATATATTGGTGATGTTTTGTCTTTAAATAACAAGAAATTGGATTGACCAAGATTTACGTGTTGTCGATGAAGCAGCAGAAGAAGCCACATCCTTGTACTTCTACAGATGTCGCCGTATAATGTCTTCCTTCCTATTTATATATATATAACAAGACATGTATTTTCTCACTATCTGTATTTAAATAAAAATTTGTTTCAGTCATTTTATATATATATTTATGTATATCCCTAGTTTTGTTTGATTTGAACTTAGGTTTGGATTCTGATATGTTTGTATTTTTTAAAACTATTATCTGTTTCAGGATGGTACGATCATCATCAGATGACTCGTACAGTAATACCAGAATTCACATTAGTTGCCCTCGTGGTTATACAAAGGTTCACATTACAGTACGTACCTACAGGAAATAATATAAGTTACCTTATACAATCATACACGAGGCCAGACCAATAAACTTTTAAACTTTTCCCGAGACCATACTAAGCAATACAACGATCTCCTCTAATCTGACAAAAACAAAGCAAAAAACGGACGCATGGTCAGTGTATGGGAGAATTTTTTTTTTAACATACACACTTTTGTAGGGTGAGGTGTGTACGTATGTCAGAAAAAAATAAGTTATCCTCGCTCACCCGGGTTGTTAAATAATATCATTCGATTCCCGTCAATATCACTTCAAGGGGAACAACTCGTTTCGACTTATCAGTTACCATGAATTAAAGGGTCATAACTCCGGTGGCCTTATTGAAAGGACAGCTTTTTAACATTTTCCGATTTTTTAAAATATGACATCAAGTCATACTGGAATTGGAGAAAGGAAAAACTTATCTTACACTAAAATGGTAGACTTCAGGTACTGGTAAAACAGTAGTAGATTGTTTGTTCGAATTTTTGTATTATTTTTTTTTTCAAAATGGGGTGGGTATGTTACAGCACGATCTAAGATATGGGAAATCCAAAGGTGAAACAAAGCGTGACTGTCCGGTGGCACAGGTACGCTTTACGCAATTGCCTGATCGTGTTTTACTACCCTGTCTGGTTATCGTTTGTGTGTTAAGCTTTCATTGAATGACCATACCACGCTTGGCCGACTTTGTGAGATATTATTTGGTGAATGTACTCATAGCTAACAAAAGACAAGTGCATGTGAAATAAATGAAGCGTTTCAAGGCGTTGACCAATCAGCAGAGTGATTGTCCATGAATACTACAATATTGAGGCGCGGCACACACCGCTATCACACAGCAGTAGACCGGCTGCGCGGAAAGTCGTGTACGAAAGCAAGCACTAGCGATCGGTAGGGCTGGGTGTGCGGCGAATGCAGTAGCTAGTGTTTTTGTCGCTGTCTCTTTCACTGGATTATATTATATTTACTGTACCAAGATGTCGACGAATGGAGTTAATGGTCATAGTAAGGACAGTGTTTCGGAATTATCATGGAAGGTGGGATTGTTGAATTGTAACACTAAATATCTTACTGCAGAGAGTTTTGGTAAATTAAATATCACCGGTAGCAGTCTGAAGAAAAAACAAGTCTGGACTATAGAACATGACAGAGACAACGATGGAGTGATTTATCTCAAAAGTCCCCAAACAGAGGAGAGCTACCTCAGCAGGGACAGATTCAGGAACGTTACACTCGCGGAGAAAGGGGAGGAGAGCAGATTTTCTGTTGAGTATGGCGATGGCGAATATTCGGGTCTTTGGGCATTTCGAAATGTCAAGTCCCAGGCCTTCCTTGGTACCAAGGGGGACGAATTGGTATGTACCAAAGAAGGCAAACCCACCAAAATGGAATACTGGACTGTCCAGTTATCGATCCATCCCCAAGTAAATATCCGTCATGTCAATCGTAACCGTTATGCGCATCTCTGCAATGACGAACTTCAATGCACAGAAGTCACTCCCTGGGGTCCCGAGGCTCTCATCATATTGGAATTCCACAAAGGGAAATATGCTCTGAGAACAAGTGACGACCGGTATGTAAACTCTGATGGCTCTCTATCCAGTGAGTGTTCAGAAGGGACATTGTTCATGTTAGAAATCCGTTCTGGAAAGGAAGTTGGTTTGGCGTTCAAGGACTTTCAACAACGTTACATAACAGCCATCGGTACTACAGCAACCATGAAAGGCCGCAATACGACGGTAGGCAGGGATGAGCTGTTTGCCATAGAGGACAGTCACCCTCAAGTTGTGTTCGTGTCCGAGGCTGGCAAGATGGCATCTGTCAAACAAGGTATACATCATCTTTTTTACTTACAAATCCAGAATTAACAATTAAGTGCATTCACTTGTTAAACAGTAAACTGCTATAAACAGCATATAGCTTTTTAAAAATATAATGCAGCCAACACATTACGTTGTATATGACATAATGGAGTGAAGTATAGGTTCCCATGGTTACCTTCTAATTTGAGACTGACGGGAAGAGAGAGACTTCTATAGGCTGGATTACGACAGTAACATGATACAAATGTAGATGCGATAACACGGAATACAGCTCTAGAAGGTACCAAGGTCCCTCCAGGATCTCTTCATTTGAATAAGATTATGAACTTGTGAGGTTCGTTCCCGAAATAACAGTCAGGTCACTAGTTATTACTACACATAACATTTTGTCTCCGTATCGGTCATAACAGATAAGTCTAGTTCAGCCAAGTGCCTTATGGTACACGATGACACGATATTAATGAGGTCAGGTTCAACAACAAAGTGTTTCATTATACACGCAGAAATTATGGACTAAGGTTAAGTACAACCGAGTGCCTCGTGGTACACGCTGACATCATGGACTAAGGTTAGGTACAACCGAGTGCCTCGTGGTACACGCTGACATTATGGACTAAGGTTAAGTACAACCGAGTGCCTCGTGGTACACGCTGACATCATGGACTAAGGTTGGGTACAACCGAGTGCCTCGTGGTACACGCTGACATTATGGACTAAGGTTAAGTACAACCGAGTGCCTCGTGGTACACACTGACATCATGGACTAAGGTTAGGTACAACCGAGTGCCTCGTGGTACACGATGACACAAATGACTAAGACCAGGTATATCTGAGTGTTTCCTGATACACGCTAACATCATGGACTAAGGTTAGGCACTGCCGAATGTTTCACGGTACATGGTGACACCGTTGGCTGAGGTTAGGTACAACTAAATGTCTCGTGTTACACGATGACTATTAACTAAGGTCTGACACAAGCGTTTTTGTAATACACGCTGGCATCATTGACTAAGGTCACGTACAGACTAGTGTCTCGTGGTACACGCTGACACTGTTGACTAAGGTCACGTACAGTCTAGTGTCTCGTGGTACACGCTGACACTGTTGACTAAGGTCACGTACAGCCTAGTGTCTCGTGGTACACGCTGACACTGTTAAGGTAACGTACAGACTAGTGTCTCGTGGTACACGGTGACACTGTTGACTAAGGTCACGTAAAGCCTAGTGTCTCGTGGTACACGCTGACACTGTTAAGGTAACGTACAGACTAGTGTCTCGTGGTGCACGGTGACACTATTGGCTAAGGTCACGTAGTCTAGTGTCTCGTGGTACACGGTGACACTGTTGACTAAGGTCACGTACAGCCTAGTGTCTCGTGGTACACGCTGACACTGTTAAGGTCACGTACAGACTAGTGTCTCGTGGTGCACGGTGACACTATTGACTAAGGTCACGTAGTCTAGTGTCTCGTGGTACACGGTGACACTGTTGACTAAGGTCACGTACAGACTAGCCTCTCGTGGTACATGGTGACACTGTTGACTAAGGTCACGTACAGCCTATTGTCTCGTGGTACACGGTGACACTATTGACTAAGGTCACGTACAGACTAGTGTCTCGTGGTACACGGTGACACAATGGACTAAGATCAAGCACAACTGAGTGTTTTACAGTGTATAATCACACGATTGATTAAGGTAAGATATTTTGTGTTGCGTGGTACACGGTGACCACTCCACTTCTCATAGACATTAGATTCGCACGTGTACAAGAGGAAGTGGTGTTATTACACGCGTTTGAGCATGACGAATGTCGATTTAGTACACTCGTGTTTACCGTCTGCGCCCGCACCAGTCCTATCCAGTGGACTGTCAAACGCTTAACACATCATTGGAGGGGGTGATGGTGGTGTTGTAAGTGACGTGCCTACTCGAAGCTGCCGACACTGGGGTGTATGACTCACGGATCAATCCTACCCTGAGAACAAACGATATCTAGTAAAAATCACCGCGGTATACAGAGCTAACACAGGTTGACCCTTCAACTGACAAATATGAAAGACGGGCCATTTAGAATATTTAGAATTACATCTGTATTCAATTAAAGTTTATTGGTTAAAACGACATTTGTATACTGGTCTTGCATGTTAAATATATGCTCGGTATTGTCATGTCGGCAATTTCTTTCTCGGGGTTCATATGTACCTACACGTTCTGGAGAAATTAAACATGTAAAGATATCGAATAGTTTTACTAATGCTCTAATCTATATCGTCAATCACGCGCCACTTGATTACGAATAATTACACTTAATATGACAATGGGACACGAATATTTGTAGATTTTGCACTTGTATGCGTGCTTGTCAATAATGACACGCCCGGTGGTTTAATGTGCAAGGGTCGGCTGCATGGTAGGGTATCGATCCTATTGCACATAACACAGAAGTAAATTTAGTGTTATTGCCAGACTGATCGGCAGGTTACGGCTCATGTTCGGTGTTTTTGTCTGACCTTGCAAGAAACATCCAATTCTTTCTAATAATTTGGACTTCTCTGCCGGTGTCCCGAAGAGATGTATACATCCAACAGTTCTAATGAATAAAGGTCAAGGCCATTCCCAGATGTTAATTGTGTACATAATCTCTTACTTCTTACAAAATAAACTTGGGGAAGTGTCAGCTCCCGGGCGCTGGTGTCGGGTATAAACCTTCGGTTTGTAGTAGGTTAAACTTTCCGACCGTGCAATGTTTATCATACTAAAATGCAACAGACCAAACACTCTGGCATCCGAGTCTACACGTGCATGTTTATACCTCTCGTTTTTTACGGTTCCCCAGATACACACGTGCATGTCCAATTGACCTAATCGCGAGTGCTAGTGCCTGACCAGACAACGTCAGACATACTATAAACCAGTAGTGGTTATGTATTTAGACGTAACCCTGTGATTACCAACAGATCGGCGGTATACTTTATAAAATTGCAGTGTACTTGATATTTTATTCGGGCATTCTATGCCGGTACTTTTCATGATTTTGTGTCTAGTACATCTTCCGTCTTGTATTCTAGGCGTAGATATATCAGCGAATCAGACGGAAGAAACGGAAACGGAAACATTCCAGACAGAATATCAACCCGAGCTGTCCAAATGGGCAGTCCGCACGTGCAAAACCACATACTGGACAATGGTCAACCCAGGATCAGCAATTCAGGCCAATAACAGAGAAATGTAAGTTTCGTTATCTTTATGATTTTCAATCTTGGATACACCTGTAGTGATATCGACGTCCACAAGCATCGATCAGTCAATCTTTTTAGTGTACTCGTTGAGTCAATCTTTTAGTATACTCGTTAAGGCAATCTTTTTAGTATACTCGTTGACTCAGTCTTTTTAGTATACTCGTTGAGTCAGTCTTTTTAGCATACTCGTTGAGTCAATCTTTTTAGTATTATCGTTCAGTCAATCTTTTTAGTATACTCGTTGAGTCAATCTTTTTAGTATACTCGTTGAGTCAATCTGTTTAGTATACTCGTTGGGCCAATCTTTTTAGTATACTCGTTGAGTCAATCTTTTTAGTATACTCGTTGGGCCAATCTTTTTAGTATACTCATTGAGTCAATCTTTTTAGTATACTCGTTGAGTCAATACTTTTAGTATACTCGTTGAGTCAATACTTTTAGTATACTCGTTGAGTCAATACTTTTAGTATACTCGTTGAGTCAATACTTTTAGTATACTCGTTGAGTCAATACTTTTAGTATACCCGTTGAGTCAATACTTTTAGTATACTCGTTGAAGATATTTCTATATCGTTATTGCATTTGAACATACTTTGTTTCTCATTGTAGCAAAGACACCTCTTTGTTCGACTTGCAGTGGCAAGATGATGGAACCGTTGGAATTGTAGCTCAAAACGGTAAATTTGTGACGCACAAGTCCACGGGTGCTATGGTGGCTATCGCGGACACCATGGGCGAGAAGGAGAAGTTCCATGTTAAAATTACTAACAGGCCTTACCTCATTCTCCGGTGTCAACACGGCTTTGTGGGTATTAAGTCCACAAGCGAGTACGTTTGTAACAAAGCTAACTTCACCATCATAGTTCTAGAAGGAAACAACGACGGAACATACGCTATGAAAGGTAAGTTGAATAGTTACGGTTTTGTCGGTCTTTTTATCTGTCTCCTATTTCCCCATTAGTTTACCTTTGGTGATTGATAAGCATGAACTGATCACCAGAAATTAATAAGGCGTGCATTTGTATTTAGATTGTGATTGTTGTTGTTGCTAATTCTCAGAAAGCAGTATTCGGCACATTTTCTTCCTGTTGGGAATTCAATAGAATAGAAGTTCTGATAACATAACCATGATTTGAGTATGACGTTTCGACGACAACCCTGTCAACTTCATCAGCCAAAAAGTAATGAAGCGTATTAAATTTGATGTATAAAGTGTACGAGAAGGTTTGTAATAGAATGTCATACTCAAATCTTCTACTGGTTATGTTATATGAACATCTGTTTATTCTACTCAGAAACCACTGTTTGAATACTTTTTTAACTTCCTGTTAGGACACCTCTTTTTCATTTTCTATTACTTTGGAAACAGATTGATCACCAGACAAACATATGTCGCTTTTGCTAAGAAAACATTAGCGTATATTCATTTTAAATTTGAGCAAAACAATCCCGTTCCGCTTGATTTAGCAAGCTAATATCAAAACGAAAGAAAAACAACGAAAAGTTTGCACTACTGTATAACGCATCTATGATTTAGTGTTGGTGTAAATTTTGTAAATACTAGTAAAACATTGTTAAGAAAACATGTCTAGAAATTAAGTAAAAAGTACAAATATTTCTCAAACAGCTTGTCAGTTGTCAACTCGTGTTGTTTTCTTGGTGTCTGGTTTTGACACAAGTGAAATAAGATAAACATAAGGCTGTAGGAAGAAAAGAATGTTTTTTATAAAAGATAATTTACAGCCAGTGTTTTTACAAAATAAAGTGACTGTCATCGCAGTAGACTACTCATTACTAACGTCTAATTCCTCACATTTCAGATATGAATGGTAAATACTGGAGTATTTCTGAGGACGGTCATGTAAGCGCGGATGGCGACGAACCCACTCATTTTAAAATAGAATTCCACAAACAGACGTCCATCTACATCAAGGGACCAAATGGACGTTATCTCAAAGGGGAACAGAATGGCAACTTCCGGGTTATTGGAGAAGAGTCAGGACCGGATACAGCATGGGAATTCTAATTCAGACAATTTCACGGACTGCTTTAAAGTTAGAAATCACACGATACTAGTACTATGAAACTCAGATAAACAAATTACGACAGGATTGTTATGTTAACATTCCGATTAAATTCCAAAGGACCAATCAGGAGGTGGTATACAGAATATATATGACAAATTTGACCAATGCTGACACACGATTTTCGTGTTGTGGACCATTCAGGATGTTGATATTATATACAGTCCGGTCCTGTATTTTGCTAGGACATCCCCGGTACTGTAAACAGGACTTCCTGGTGTAATGCTGGTTTGGGATCACGACTTCCGGTTTTGGGCAAATGTCTCCGTTCATAATGCCAAAAGAGAAACAAGATTATCCTTATATCCGTGTATAAAATGCAAATATAGGTCACACAAGGTCATGCCAGACAGGAGGATTAACCCGCTTTCACATTAGAAAGGAAGGATTGGCGATTCTTAGAGCATTAAACTAAACGCCCATGAATTGTGTACGCGAGACCGATGGATTATAAGAAGGGGCAGTATGTGTGGAGTGAATGGAGAACGTGTGTATGGAGTAGATGCGGCTTTCTAGTATAATATATTATTTGTGAATAAGACAGAGCTCTTTATAATCAAATACAAACCTTTTGTAATAAAAATCGCCGAAAAATAAAGCTGCATTGAATGGATATCATTTATACAAGTTCATTCTTGTATTTATTAAATAACTATATACAGTTGAATAAAAAGACCAGCTTTTCCTTATCTATTAGCAAAAGGGACGAGTCTAGGACACAATTTCTTCATATCCATAATATGACACAGGATATAGTAAAGCCCGGTCGGTACAGATATGTCGAGATGTGTTTGAACCATTAATCTTCAATAAGACAAGAAAAAATTGGGACACAAAACATAAATACTTTTGATACATAAAAGATTACATTGAAAAGAATGAACGACCGAACATTTTTAATGCGTTTGGTTATGTCACCATTTTGATTTATCGACAAGGTTTCTGAAAGGCAATTTTCTGTTAGAAATACACATTTACGAAATTTAAGACTGGAAATTCTTCACTTTGCACGCGTACAGACTGGAACGTGGTGGGTTTGGTTCGGGCTCGATCGATCGAGTTGCCGACACTGCTAACTCCAACCACGCAAACTGACGTTTCATCAGTCTTCAACTGTCAATGCATGAATAAGATATGTGCACGCGCTTCTTCAGAAGACAGATTTCGCTGTTTCCACATACGAATTTATGAACACGCTGCCGTTATCGAATGGTATGCTGGTATTTCCGTATGTATTCTTAAAATAAGGATATGTAAGCTCTATCCAAACTGAAAATGTTGATAAACATATTTTTCACAAGATCTTGACGTCAGAGCCCACAAAATGATGACTTCGTAAACATGTAGGCCTGCCGTAAAAGAATTTTTAGAGAGATATTATGGATGTGTAATTAATCGAAAAATGATTTTGTGAAACTCAGAATCGTACTAAAAACGTCTTGAACGTTAAGGTGAAATTGAACAAACAAATATCTCAGAAAAATATGTTTTGTACGTAACTCAATTGAAACTTTCTTGTTTTCGGATTGCCATGTTATTTTCCTGTTTCGGTATTTCCGATATACATAACAAACAGAACATAGCTGAAATGCACTTTGTCTCGTTCACGTTGATGCTATATCGGTCTGCAATAATCACGGAAGAACCGGAAAGACTGACGATAAAATACAATATGAACTAGCCGCCGGGAAGTTCCGGAACGGTAGAAAATGATCGAATAATTAGTGTGATAACTTCGCGTATGTTTACCTCTGGGGACATGTACATAGGCATAGCTGACAGTCTTTAGACAACCATTTAACAGCAATTGTCTGATAACTCACAGATAACTGACAGCACCTGCTCAAACCTTGATGAACAAAATGGGTTATGACCTGTGTGTAATAAAGATTCCCCTGTAATAACCCACACCTGCATGTATATCACGCACTTGACGATGGCGGAATAACTGCTGTCTTAGTCAGGGAAACGGCTTCTACTAAGGCTTGAAAAAATAAATGTACAAAAACGCTTTCCAATCAACAGAAAATACAAAATCCTGAACAATGATATCGTTTGGCACAGTGCAAGTGGACGGAAAACCAGCTTGTTTTATATGGTAGTGGTCGGAAGAGTGACTTCTTGTACATATTACACCCCACTAAATGGACCATTTACAAGATGTTTTTTAGCAGCACGCGACGGGCTGTTGACCCACATATCCGATTAGAATAGCCACTTTAAATATTCTCAATTGACATCATTCTAATAGAAGAGGCCATTTTGTCAATTGATGAAATATGGCTCACTTATCTCGAGTACCAGTCCAGCATCCGGCGAGCTGTGCGCCTGTGTTACTGTATACACACAATACAAATAGCAGAGCTCGTTATTTTTGCCTTAACAATCGAGATTATGACATTGTATTCAAACTGTTCAGAAGTATATACATGCTACTTCCACCTCCCATGACCACAGGATGAACACTTTGACGCGGTCACATTAAAATAGGCCCAGTGTGTCCTGGATGATGTATCGGAGGGGTCAATCCCTCACCCCGGAATTTTTCTCGCGTCCTTGACACTTTAGAATTGACCCTTTTTCGCTCTGGATAGAAAACACGACTTTAGTCCCTACACCGTCGTCTGCCCCCGTAAATAAGTGTTTCCGTAGACTTTGTCTGGGTTTGATATTTGAATGAAATTTATACCAGACCCGATACTATACGGCTAACATCAAATACATCAAACTATATACATGTAAACCTATCTATGTTAATTCAGTGTCCTCGAAAGGCTTGTCACATTTTTAAAAATCAATCTACATGTGATGACGACATTCAAGACCTCCTGCAGGATTTCGAGGTTAATTAAAGGTCAAGGTGACTATCTCATTTCTCTGCCGAGATACACAGAGAACTGACACAAAATCCTAACACCAAAGTCTTCACTTGTGTTTAAACATCCTCGATACTCCAGGAATTCTCTGTAACCCCTTGGAATATCAAGGATAGTATTTGAAAAACACAAATGGTTCGTAAGTCTGGGACTCGGCTTCCCTGTGGTCGGGTATAAGCGATACACAGACATAGTGTAGTGTAGTTTGCTGGTAATATGTCTCCATTTAGAGAAGTATTCCGACTCATCGATATGAAAAAACCAATGAGCCACGACCAGTGATCAAGGAGACGGATTGTGGGGTCTAATGGCGCCATCCATCTCCGTCTACTACAACCGCAAATATCCCTAGATGTTTACAAACGCAAGTGGGAAGATTCAAGATATTTTTTTTTTCATTTTATTTGTTCCTGTCAGAAAGATTTAATATTTGTTGAAAAAATATAAGGGTTTATGTCGATGGCAACAACTATGTAGTGTTCAATCTCTCAAATCATCACTTTTGCCAAACAACATAATTGAACAGAAAACGTTCAATGTGAAATTCTAGCTGAAGTGTAAGATAGATATTGCCATAGTTACTTGAATTTGTTGAAAATTCGACTATCGTCCTCATAGAAGATTAGATGTAAACGCATTTAGTCGAGTTGATGGCCTTCATGGCGTGGACTTCAAACAAACCCAAATGAGGGACAATCATTAGATCCCACACCGTTACAGCGATGTTCGAGTGGATTTGTGGGATTATTGAATATCGTATTTGTGAATATTAGGCTCTCATTGATCTTCAGAGAACATCGGTAACATAACAAAACATGTACCATGTAAACATCGGAAGATGTAGCGGTGGAGATAAGGATCATAACGAAGGTTTCTTTAGAACGTTTAATTTCTCTCCGTTTCGTGATAAAATAGTTATGAAATTTCCCAACAGGCAATACTGATTACAGAACTAATATATAGACACAATGTTGCATTGTTGGATGATAAGCACGTACATCGATATCACATGACCACGTGTATAGCTGCCCACCTGCCAATTAGCAGATCTACCCTACGTTATCATGTACAGCTGCTACACTGAAACCACTGGAAACTTGTGACATTGTTCTCTTTCACCGGTTTTGCGATGAAGATAACGGTTTCTATTACAAATGTTTCACTAGCTGTTTATCTATGGAATATACTAACACGTCACCGAGACAAGGAGAACAGTATCCCTAGTACCAGCAGTGTATAAACAATGAAAATAATATAATGACGTCATCATACTGCTTTATCATAGTCATGTCAGACTTGAAATGAAAACAATGAATCTGAAACGCTAGGGACATCGGGTGATTGTAGAGTTATTGGGAATCAAAAGATCGAGACACGACACAAAATTTAAGCATGCATTGTCTTCTTTTAACCAGTTAGACAATAGAGAACATACAGCCAGATGGGTACACTGTACAAAAACCACAGAAGGACTGTCTGGACCAAGATGGTTCCGGAGCATGAGATGCATGTTCGAATCTCAGTTTACTAGTAACTTAGAGTAAAGTTTATTGCAAACCCTGTAGTTTCAGAGCATAAAACGATGACATTCTGTCAGGTTTTAATGTTCTGGCAGATGATGGCTAGTCATAATAGTCCGACATTACACATTGCGTTTGTAATTAGAAAACTGTTTCTCTGGTTCCCTTTTACGAAAAGACACTTTACTGAACAAATCGGTGACAACAATTTTCATTTACTAATTAATTAAAATGACTCCGTTGTTAATTAAGATATAATTTAGTGTTCTGAACTGCTAAGCTGTTTCAGCGAGAAGATTACACAGTTTGTTTGGTTTAAAGATGTTCGATCGATATTCACACATACGAATCAATATACCTTACCGCAAGTTTGGTGCTGTCAGACACAGACAGCATTGTCTTTACAACACACATCCAAACACCACCAGACACAGACAGCACTGTCTTTACAACACACATCCAAACACCACCAGACACAGACAGCACTGTCTTTACAACACACATCCAAACACCACCAGACACAGACAGCACTGTCTTTACAACACACATCCAAACACCACCAGACACAGACAGCATTGTCTTTACAACACACATCCAAACACCACCAGACACAGACAGCACTGTCTTTACAACACACATCCAAACACCACCACACAGACACAGTCTTTACAACACACATCAAAACACCACCAGACACAGACAACACTGTCTTTACAACACATCCAAACACCACCAGACACGGACAGCACTGTCTTTACAACACACATCAAAACACCACCAGACACAGACAACACTGTCTTTACAACACATCCAAACACCACCAGACACAGAGAGCACTGTCTTTACAACACACATCCAAACACCACCAGACACAGACAGCACTGTCTTTACAAAACACCACCAGACACGGAAAGCACTGTCTTTACAATACACACCCAAACAATATTAGACACAGACAACACTGTCTTTACAACACACATCCAAACACCACCAAACACAGACAGCACTGTCTTTACAACACACATCAAAACACCACCAGACACAGACAACACTGTCTTTACAACACATCCAAACACCACCAGACACAGACAACACTGTCTTTACAACACATCCAAACACCACCAGACACAGACAGCACTGTCTTTACAACACACATTCTAACACCACCAGACACAGACAGCACTGTCTTTATAACACACATCCAAACACCACCAGACACAGA